CCACGCTGTGGTGTGATCATGAGCATGAGTGTCGAGTCCAGCTGCTGCCATGTCTTCCCCGCTCAACCCACAGTCACTCTGTCACACCCAACCCCTCTCTCCATCTCACCTCGTCTTTCATCATGTTGCTCTCCTTGGCAGCAGCCCACGCCTTGGTGATCATGAGCATGAGCGTCGAGTCCAGCTGCTGCCGAGCCGCCAGCTGGTCAATCTTCCCGCACGCCTCTGCCAGGCTGGCGCTGCCCATGATGTCGTCGAACTTGGCCTGTGCTGCCTCCACTGCTGCTTCATCTGCCTCCACCTTGTCATGGATATCGACTGCTGTGAGACATTTGGCTGCCAGGGATGCGATTTCTGCACAAGGAAAGAAAAAAGGGAAACAGAGAGGTACAGAAAGGTACAGAGAGATGGATCTTCCCGCACGCCTCTGCCAGGCTGGCGCTGCCCATGATGTCGTCGAACTTGGCCTGCGCTGCCTCCACTGCTGCTTCATCCGCCTCCACCTTGTCGTGAATGTCCACTGCTGTCATACACTTGGCTGCCAGGGAAGCGATCTCTGCATGGGGTGGGGAAAGGGAGGGCGTGTACATTCAGGTGGAGAGAGTGCCGAACTTGGCTTGTGCCACCTCCACTGCCACCTTGTCTGCCTCCACCTTGTCGTGAATGTCAACTGCTGTGACACACTTGGCTGCTAGAGACGCGATCTCTGCATGAGGCAATGGAAGATATGCACAGACACATTGAGAGAGATCAAGAGAGGTAGAGGGAGGTAGAGAGTCAAACTCGGTCTGTGCTGCCTCTATTGCCACCTCGTCTGCCTCCACCTTGTCGTGAACTGCTGTCACGCATGTGGCTTGGCTGCCACGGAAGCGATTTCTGCACGGGTTACGGAAAAGGACATGTACAAAGATGTGTAGACGCAAGGGAGAGGTGTCGGCTTGTGCCGCCTCCACTGCTTCCTCGTCTGCCTCCACCTTGTCGTGGCGCTGCCACACACTTGGCTGCCAGGAAAGCAATCTCTGCACCCAGGGATAAAGGTAGGTATTCAGTGGTGGAAACGACGGGTGGAAAGGGTGGAGGGAGGTGGAGGCAGGTGGAGGGAGGTGGAGGGAGGTGGAGGCAGGTGGAGGGAGGTGGAGATCGGTAATGATCACGAACATTAGGTACGAGGTTGACACTCAGGCTGCAGGCTTCACACTCATGCCGCTTCATCTCGCCATCTCATCTCGCCGCTTCCCATCTCACCATCGTGCCGCTGCAGGTTATCATGGTTGGCAGGCATGGAACATGAGAGGCTCAAACATGAGAGGCTCAAACATGAGAGGCTCAAACATGAGAGGCTCAAACATGAGAGGCTCAAACATGAGAGGCTCAAACATGAGAGGCTCAAACATGAGAGGCTCAAACATGAGAGGCTCAAACATGAGAGGCTCAAACATGAGAGGCTCAAACATGAGAGGCTCAAACATGAGAGGCTCAAACATGAGAGGCTCAAACATGAGAGGCTCAAACATGAGAGGCTCAAACATGAGAGGCTCAAACATGAGAGGCTCAAACATGAGAGGCTCAAACATGAGAGGCTCAAACATGAGCGGCTCAAACATGAGCGGCTCAAACATGAGCCTGACAAAGGATCTGCAGGTGCTCAACGAACTCCCCCGCGAAGTTCCTCGCTCAGTGCCCATCACTCTCTCTCATTCTTGTACTGCTCATCATATCAGCATGTTCCTCCCGTCTTGCTGCTGCGGGTTGGCACGGCTGGTCCGGGAAAGCACATGCAGATGCTCAAAGAACCCTTGCAGCCCCCTCGACCTGTACCCTTCCACCACGCACCATCTTGCCGCTGCGGGTTATCATGGTTGGCTTGGCAAAGAATCTGCAGATGCTCGAAGAACTCCCCTGTGAAGTCCCGCCTCCGCCTCGCCACCAGCCCCTCCAGTGCGCCGTCCGCCTCGTGCTCCTCCACGAGAGAGAATAATTCATTGTGTGCTGTCATTGAGTCATCCACCTGCGGGGGGGAGGGAGGGGACGGGGGGGAGGGAGGGAAGGGAGGCGACAGAGAGGACAGAGAGCGGTCAGAGGTGAACGTGCCACCAGCCCCTCCAGTGCGCCCTCCGCCTCGTGCTCCTCCACCAATGATAAGAGCTCGTTGTGCGCTGTCATTGAGTCGTCCACCTGAGGGTGGGGTAAAGGGGATGGCAGCGGAGTGAGAGGAGTGGGAGGTCAGAGTGGCACTTGCGTTGCCAGCATGGCACTTGCGTTGCCAGCATGGCACTTGCGTTGCCAGCATGGCACTTGCGTTGCCAGCATGGCACTTGCGTTGCCAGCATGGCACTTGCGTTGCCAGCATGGCACTTGCGTTGCCAGCATGGCACTTGCGTTGCCAGCATGGCACTTGCGTTGCCAGCATGGCACTTGCGTTGCCAGCATGGCACTTGCGTTGCCAGCATGGCACTTGCGTTGCCAGCATGGCACTTGCGTTGCCAGCATGGCACTTGCGTTGCCAGCATGGCACTTGCGTTGCCAGCATGGCACTTGCGTTGCCAGCATGGCACTTGCGTTGCCAGCATGGCACTTGCGTTGCCAGCATGGCACTTGCGTTGCCAGCATGGCACTTGCGTTGCCAGCATGGCACTTGCGTTGCCAGCATGGCACTTGCGTTGCCAGCATGGCACTTGCGTTGCCAGCATGGCACTTGCGTTGCCAGCATGGCACTTGCGTTGCCAGCATGGCACTTGCGTTGCCAGCATGGCACTTGCGTTGCCAGCATGGCACTTGCGTTGCCAGCATGGCACTTGCGTTGCCAGCATGGCACTTGCGTTGCCAGCATGGCACTTGCGTTGCCAGCATGGCACTTGCGTTGCCAGCATGGCACTTGCGTTGCCAGCATGGCACTTGCGTTGCCAGCATGGCACTTGCGTTGCCAGCATGGCACTTGCGTTGCCAGCATGGCACTTGCGTTGCCAGCATGGCACTTGCGTTGCCAGCATGGCACTTGCGTTGCCAGCATGGCACTTGCGTTGCCAGCATGGCACTTGCGTTGCCAGCATGGCACTTGCGTTGCCAGCATGGCACTTGCGTTGCCAGCATGGCACGCTTTTAAAGCGCCAACGAAGTCGACCTCACCGCAATGCGCACAAAACCCTGAACTGAAAACCTTGGAAACACATTCCCCTGGGACCTAAACCCCTGAACCCCGCGCCCCTCACCTCCTTGAGCCTCCGCGCGAGCCGGTACAGCTCCGCGGCCTTGTCGGGCTTGCCCTGCTCCTCGAACTCGCGCGCGCGCAGCTTGGCGCGCGCGAAGAAGTGCGGGCGGATGCGCGCCCACTCGGCGCTGAAGGCGAGCAGCAGGCGCCACTGCGCGGGGTGGGGCTTCTCCACCCAGAACACGTCCACCAGCCGGTCGCACACGCGCGACATCTTAAAGCCCGCCTCCACCTCGGGATCCTCGTCGTCGTCCTCTTCTCCCCCTCCTCCTTCTCCTCCTTCTTTCTCTTCTCTCTCTTTTCCTCTTTCCCCTTCCTCTTGCCTCTGCTCCCCTGTCTCTGCATCCTTCTCCTGCTGATCTGCAACCTCCGCTTTCGCCTGGTTCGGCGCTTTCTCTTCCGCTACCTGCCCACCTGCATCTTTCCCCCCCTCTGCGCCCCTGCCTTCCTCTCTCTCCTTCTCCTGCGACGTTCGATCCTCGTCTGCTGCCGCTTGTAACGGTTTGGGGGTTTCTACACTCGTTACAGAGCCGGAATCGGAGAGAGCGCGTAGGCGATGTAGGGGAAACCGATGCGACGACGAGGTTGAACGAATGGGAGGGGACGGAGCGAGCGCGGCCAGGGAAATCCTTAGAGCGCCACTCAATAACGAGGATCGAGGCTCCCTTGACCGGCTGCTAACGTCACACGGGCCTAAATCGGGCAAGGCTAACGGTCGCTGAGGGGAACGTAAACGGAATCCGGATAGACGAAACCCAGGTACACATGGACTCATGCTGACGTGTACAGCGCCAGCTGGCCGAAGCTGCTGCATGCGTTCCCGGCTTCTACTGGAGGTCGCGATAGCGTGCGCTGCGCTGCGTGGCTGTGCTGGAGCCCGATTGGCCGAGAATCGTAGAGCGAAGTCTATCGCCATCACTACGAAACGGAAAAGACGGAACAGGAAGTAAACGAAGAGGCAACAAGGGAAATAGTCCTATCGCGTCACACGTCGCGACTACGAATCCGTCGCGAAAGTGGCACGCGCAGCTGATGCGATGCGTGCAGCGGCGACGAGCGATTTGACGGCAGTCTCGAGTAATGTACGGAAGGAGCGGCGAGGCAGTTACAGCCGTCCAAGTGGATTTTGTGGAAGGTGGAATTGACGGAAGCTTGAGCAAGAAGCAAATGAATTCAGTCAAAGGCGGAGGGTCAACTGTTGAACGGAACATTTTCCAGTTTGGATGATCCCTCTGACGCTCACAACTCCGCTAGAAAAAACATTCGTGTGTATATGTTCATAAGCTTGATATCTTTTGTACAACAATGTAGATTCGAAAGAATATTGATTTCAATTCCATTCACTAAGTATCCAATGGCATAGAGAGCCTCCATTCAGTTTGGACACCGTACCTTGGTCAAACAAGCATTGACATGGTGATGCAAATACAAGCTAACCATTCTGAATGGGATTGAAGAAAACATTGCAGAGTAGAATCTAACCTAAAACGCAGTCAAACTTGAACTGGAAACCTATCTACAGGGGTAGAGAATTGAGGGCTGGAACCCAAGACAACACACCGAGGATGCAGTTGCTGCTCGCACGGAGCAGACAGGGCAATGCTTGCATGCCAGGCCGCTCAGCCGCATCAACTCAAAGGGAGGCCGCTGAGCACACCTACTCAATTAACCACTGCCAGCCAATGTCAGCCACACCGGTAAGACACCTTACCCCAGCAATGCTCGTTACACACGAAACTATTCCCCACTACCCTGACACGCCATTCTCCGCGCACTTTTCCTTAACCAGCGGTCACGATTCGCAGATGTAGATCACGACGTGCTGTGGTTGGTCGGATTCCCCTTCCACGGGGTTCCACGCGCTCTGCAAGGCGCAGTTGTTCTCAAGCGACGCCACCTTCCCGCCGCTCGTGTACCGCGCCAGCAGCTGACTGCTGCTTCCCCACAGCTGTTGCACCTGCGCGTGCCACGCGCCCCACTGCTGCTTCTGCTGCGCCGCCTTTCCGCTCTCCGCCTCTCCTCCCCCTTGCGCCTTCCCCCCGGCGGAGTTTTGGTACTCAAGCTCCGCCATCTCTCCGCCGCTGCTCAGCGCCGGCTCGCTGCGCGCCGATTGGCTTCGCTCCGATAGGCTGCTGCTCTGGCTGCTGAGCGTCGGAAGGCTCTCGCGCGCGCTTCGGCTGCCGAAATAGGAGCCGCTTAGGAGCTCGCTGGCAGCACGAGGCATCTTGGGAACGCTGATGGATGGAAGCGTCATGATTGGTCGAACGGACGAAGGGTTGAAGCGTTCGAGACGGTAATCAGTTAGAGACGAGGGGCTTGAAACAGGATAGTTATTGGGAGCGTATAGTTCCTCACGCGCCTGTAAAGAGGTCAGGGGAAGGGTGCGGGAGAGAGGAGGGGGGAATTTTGAGTTGAGGAATGGCGGCATTGAGGGTGGGATAGCGGACGCGAGTTCAACAATGGAGCTGTAGGATAGGACGCGAAAAGAACGCTTCAACATTGCGATGCACGAGTGAGAAGTGCGGGAGGACATCTCGTGAAGAATGACAACGTGAAACCAAGCCCCCTACATGCTCATGGAGAGAGACGCAATGAAATAGACGCAACGTGAGAGAGCATTGCAGCCTGTTACCTGATCACACGGAGATAACCCGAGCGTAATGGATGGCCTCAGGGCTGTCGAGCTGCTAGTGTCAGGTAGTTGATACTATGTGCTACGAGCAAAGCACCCCGGCATTTTCGTGCTCTGAACTCCGTAACTCCGTCCGTCTGTCCTCTCGTGCCTGGTTCCCTCGCTACTTCTCCCCTCGTATCGCTGCTGCGAAGCGTGTGAACTAGGAGCGGCACATAAGAATGTAGTAGCGGAGTGAGTGATGGAACTCGAAGCTCTGCTTGATTGATTGACAATTTGTCACCTCGACGTATGGTTGCTGATGGCCTCGATAATCCCGGTTGGTCCGTTTATGCGAAACCAGATTCCGTTGCATCTCTGTCAAGGGCCGTGCCCGAGTCACTCGCCAAGCCTGCCATGACGCGGCGCGGGGAGGGAGAAAGCGCAAGGCTGGGTGCGGAGGCAGGGGTTCGGTTGCCGAACCGAGGGAGGGCATTGTCGTTGACAATGTCACTTAAGTTTTGGCAGCGAGTATAGCCACCCTACCACAAGTTTGTCGCGTTCCTGTAAAACACGCACTCGCAGAAGTGCGACAAAGCGACATTGTCAACGACAGCGTTACCGCACGTACCAAGGAGTAGCTCACTTGTTCGTCAGTTCGGTTACGTGCAGAAAAGCAGATTTGGGCCGCAAAGCTAGGCTCGGATATTTTAGGCCTAGACCAAACCAAGCAAGTTTCGAACCATACAGTGCGAAGCGGTATCACCAGGCCAATATCAAGCCACCAATGACCACACACACAGTGCCTAAACCAGTGTGGCGCGGTGCGATCGGTCATCTCCGGCTCAGCACATTCTATAAGGACCTCTTATGTATCGCAATCCGCAAACCGTACGTGACAACAGTGTAGTTAATGTTGTTAGATCACCCTGCTCAGCAAGTTCTAAACAAAATGACAAATTTATTGGCATGGCATTATAGTAAGAATGCTATAAACTGATTGCGTCCTAAGAAAACAAAAATGAGCAAAGCAATGTAACAAGTGCTGTTGAGGTTGTCCAACGTTAGCCCTTCCGCATGTTTCTGCCTGCCCGAAGCACTTCGTCTACCAATAGTAGCTGAGAAGCAATGATGGGGCTGCAAAACATTTTGGGGGACAACAAAGTGACACATAGCATGACATCTATTAGACATGCTAAATGATTTTCACCAATGACCGCAATTGTCTCTGATGGCAGTAAATGAACTGATGGGAAGCTGTGCAATTGAGTGAGCAAAAAACATGACTTGGTATGGCATTGACAAACGCAAGGTACACGTAGCAAGACATGCCATGATACAACGCGGCAATACCACTACGCCTCATGTGGGGCAGCATATCATACGCGGAGTTGATGAGTTGCTGCTTGACACCGTAGTTGTCAAACACGCCCTCCACGAGTGGGTCCATGGGCTCGCCAGTGGTGACATTCAGCCCCACCACGTTGCCCTTGGCATGCTCCGACTGCACCATACCATGCCGCGCCATCATGTGCCATGCCATCATGTGCCATGCCATCATGTGCCATGCCATCATGTGCCATGCCATCATGTACCATGCCATCATGTGCCATACCATCATGTTCCATGCCATAACATGGCATGCAATAGACATGCCATGCCATGCCATGCCGTGCCGTGCCATGTCGAAACAAACCATGCCATCCATGGAGACTTTAATGTGCAGAACAGAGAAGCAGGAACGGGAGGCTTGCTAGGTTGAGATTAAGAGGACACCGGGGGGAGGGGTAGGAGGTCGGGGGAGAGAAGCAGCGATGGTGCAGCAGAGGCTCACAATCTCCGTGTAAGGCCCAGTCACAAGCAGCGGCAGTTGGCGATGACGTCACATGTCGTGTGCAGTGGGTGATGGCGTTACCATGCATGCACGCAAGCATGCCTCACCTGCAGCTGAGTGATCACGTCCTGTGTGTCCATCTCCGAGTTCTCCGCCAGCATGAGTGCATGCTCATCTCATGTCACCTGCACCTGCATGCATGCCTCACCTCACCTCCACATGCATGCATGCCTGCCTCACGTCCACATGCATGCATGCCTCACCTCCACATGCATGCATGCCTCACCTCACCTCCACATGCATGCATGCATGCCTCACCTCCACATGCATGCCTGCCTGCCTCACCTGCACATGCATGCATGCATCCCTCACCTGCAGCTGGATGATCACGTCCTGTGTGTCCAGCCCTGAGTTCTCCGCCAGCACCTTGGGCACCACCATCAGCGCCTCTGCAAACGCCTCCACGCCCAGCTGTGCTCTCTGTTGGGGGAGGGGAAGGCGGGGAAGGGGGGATAGCCAGTTAAGCCATGCCAAGGGCACCACCATCAGCGCCTCTGCAAACGCCTCCACGCCCAGCTGTGCTCTCTGTTGGGGGAGGGGAAGGCGGGGAAGGGGGGATAGCCAGTTAAGCCATGCCAAGGGCACCACCATCAGCGCCTCTGCAAACGCCTCCACGCCCAGCTGTGCTCTCTGTTGGGGGAGGGGAAGGCGGGGAAGGGGGGATAGCCAGTTAAGCCATGCCAAGGGCACCACCATCAGCGCCTCTGCAAACGCCTCCACTCCCAGCTGGGCTCTCTGTTCGGGTCAAACGGAGGGGAGGGGGGAAATGGGAGGGGAGGGAGTTGGAAGAGAGGGGGGGATAGCCAGTTAAGCCATGCCTTGGGCACCACCATCAGCGCCTCTGCGGATGCCTCCACGCCCAGCTGTGCTCTCTGTGTGGCTCAGAGGGAGGGGAAAAGAGGGGCGGAAATGGTGGGAGAGGGGGAATAGCCAGTTAAGCCATGCCTTAGGCACCACCATCAGCGCCTCTGCGAATGCCTCCACGCCCAGCTGTGCTCTCTGTCTGGCTCAGAGGGAGGGGAAAAGAGGGGCGGAAATGGTGGGAGAGGGGGAATAGCCAGTTAAGCCATGCCTTAGGCACCACCATCAGCGCCTCTGCGAATGCCTCCACGCCCAGCTGTGCTCTCTGTGTGGCTCAGAGGGAGGGGAAAAGAGGGGCGGAAATGGTGGGAGAGGGGGAATAGCCAGTTAAGCCATGCCTTAGGCACCACCATCAGCGCCTCTGCGAATGCCTCCACGCCCAGCTGTGCTCTCTGTGTGGCTCAGAGGGAGGGGAAAAGAGGGGCGGAAATGGTGGGAGAGGGGGAATAGCCAGTTAAGCCATGCCTTAGGCACCACCATCAGCGCCTCTGCGAATGCCTCCACGCCCAGCTGTGCTCTCTGTGTGGCTCAGAGGGAGGGGAAAAGAGGGGCGGAAATGGTGGGAGAGGGGGAATAGCCAGTTAAGCCATGCCTTAGGCACCACCATCAGCGCCTCTGCGAATGCCTCCACGCCCAGCTGTGCTCTCTGTGTGGCTCAGAGGAAGGGGAAAAGAGGGGCGGAAATGGTGGGAGAGGGGGAATAGCCAGTTAAGCCATGCCTTAGGCACCACCATCAGCGCCTCTGCGAATGCCTCCACGCCCAGCTGTGCTCTCTGTGTGGCTCAGAGGGAGGGGAAAAGAGGGGCGGAAATGGTGGGAGAGGGGTAATAGCCAGTTAAGCCATGCCTTGGGCACCACCATCAGCGCCTCTGCGAATGCCTCCACGCCCAGCTGTGCTCTCTGTGTGGCTCAGAGGGAGGGGAAAAGAGGGGCGGAAATGGTGGGAGAGGGGGAATAGCCAGTTAAGCCATGCCTTAGGCACCACCATCAGCGCCTCTGCGAATGCCTCCACGCCCAGCTGTGCTCTCTGTGTGGCTCAGAGGGAGGGGAAAAGAGGGGCGGAAATGGTGGGAGAGGGGGAATAGCCAGTTAAGCCATGCCTTAGGCACCACCATCAGCGCCTCTGCGAATGCCTCCACGCCCAGCTGTGCTCTCTGTGTGGCTCAGAGGGAGGGGAAAAGAGGGGCGGAAATGGTGGGAGAGGGGGAATAGCCAGTTAAGCCATGCCTTAGGCACCACCATCAGCGCCTCTGCGAATGCCTCCACGCCCAGCTGTGCTCTCTGTGTGGCTCAGAGGGAGGGGAAAAGAGGGGCGGAAATGGTAGGAGAGGGGGAATAGCCAGTTAAGCCATGCCTTAGGCACCACCATCAGCGCCTCTGCGAATGCCTCCACGCCCAGCTGTGCTCTCTGTGTGGCTCAGAGGGAGGGGAAAAGAGGGGCGGAAATGGTGGGAGAGGGGGAATAGCCAGTTAAACCATGCCTTAGGCACCACCATCAGCGCCTCTGCGAATGCCTCCACGCCCAGCTGTGCTCTCTGTGTGGCTCAGAGGGAGGGGAAAAGAGGGGCGGAAATGGTGGGAGAGGGGGAATAGCCAGTTAAGCCATGCCTTAGGCACCACCATCAGCGCCTCTGCAAACGCCTCCACGCCCAGCTGTGCTCTCTGTGTGGCCCACAGTGCGGGTGGTGTGCCGACAAGGAAAGGTGGATGGGGTCAGGTAATGGTTTGGTCGACCAAGCAGGCACCTATATGCGGCTCACAGGGGAACATTGCAGACGTTTCTCACATGCCGTCATGGCATCTAGTCTAGACCTCCCTGTCTGCCACTTTTCCCTGCCCCATGAGCCACTCGTTCCTGCAGAACGTGCCCTCCACCCTTTTCCCCTCTGCGGCCCTCATCCCCCCCTTCCTCCCTGCTCAGCCACTCATTCCTTCCCCCTCCCCGTTAAGCCACTCACCCCCTCCCCGTTAAGCCACTCACCCCCTCCCCCCTCCACATGGCACTCACCCCCTCCCCCCTCCACATGGCACTCACCCCCTGCACGGCGGGCTTGACTGTCTC